GCAATGAATGTACAAATGCGCTTTACACAATTGATGTATGTATGGATTGTGATAAGAGTTGTATGAGCCCCTAATAAAATGATTTTAAAAAAAGAACATCAAGCTAATGCAAACACAACTATGAGAAATGGTGGGTTCTGAGACCAGGAGGTGCATTCACATAGATTGCCATCATCCCTTGCTGTATTGACATTTTACCAAAGCACTGATTGCATAGTTAGTGGGGAGGAGAAGGAAAAGTACAAGGAAAACTGGTCCATGAAGATTTTTGGATTCTCTGAAGCTCCGATTCAAAAAGTCTTGCCCACTCTTACATCTCAGGTTTCTACAAATTGAGCTGAAAACATAGCAATGGGTTGCATTTGGCTCAAATGCCTGCTGATATTTGCAGGATCTACAGAAAATCAAACTGCAACAGCCATTCAACTTTCCCTGTTAAACACCTCAGAGGTTTTAACTTAGCTGTAATTGATTTCCCTATTCACATAAAAACAAAATTTCTGACATGATTTTCTTTTTTTGTGGTAACAAAGCAGATAAAGTCTAATGATAAATCACAGGTAAATATATAGATATACTCAAAGGGTCTCTCTCTCACAGAGGCATTTCCACAGAATGTCTTGCCTGCATTGCTCATTTGAGGGGGCAGAGGCCCTGAGTCTTCCTTGCTGGCTTGTCTAAGAAACAGAGGGACCCCAAACAGAAAGCTGGCCAATTCAGGTGGAGAAATAGGAAAGGAGATGTAGTAGATTAATGTCAAGGATGACCCCAGTTCTTTATCCCGGCCTCTAGCCAGGCTCTTTTTAAAGTGAGTTTGAAGTGACCTTCATCAAGTGTTTCTTTTCTCTCCCCACGAATCTGAGCAGGGCTTGTAATTTGTGTTGGCCCAAAGAATGTGGTGGGAGTAACATGTACCAGTTCGAAGACTAGGCCTCACGAAGCCTTGCATACTTTCATGCACTATTGTCTTGGAACTGTGATGTCCAGGCTAGCCTACTGAGAGCCAGACACCATGTGCAGCAGAACCAAGTGACCCTACCCAAGACCATCGTAGATCACCAGACAGCAGGACATCCAGGCAAGCCTGCCAAATTGAGCAGATATGTTCAGATAATCTATAGACTTGTGATTTATTATTATATGCAGGAGCCTTGGTAGCACTGTGGTTACAAGCACTAGGCTGATAAAGAGGTGGTAGTATGCTTCTATAAAGATTGACAACCTTGGAAACCATGTGGGGTAGTTCTACTCTATCCTATAGGGTCACTATGAGTTACAATCATCTCAACAACGGTCGGTTTAGCTTTTGGTTTATTAATATATGCCACTGAGGTGTTGTAGTTGTATAATACACAGTTTTATTGTGGTAAGGGAAATTGGACACAGGGAATGATGGACATACTTTTTAACTCCTTATCACCGAATTGCTAGCAAAGACTAATCAAAGTTCTCTGCAAACAGTTTCTGTCTTTTTTTTTTTTTAATAGAGTGGGTGTGTGTGGAAGCTATGATATTAGTAAATATGAACAGAACACATTATTTTGTGATCTAGTTATCAGAGATTGCCATTAAGAACTAGAAAACAAAATCTCTAAAGTAGGCCATGATATTTGGTTGTTTTAAAATGTTTTCTAACTTGTATACCCCCAAATTTGGGGGGAGGTAGTTGAAGATGTTTGGTTGATAGGAAGTTTAATTTAGTTCAATTTAGGTGTAATAATGCCTGCTTTCCATGTTGTCCAGCAGTGGTCATTTTTCTCATTTGGATTTGGTTGGAAATTTAAGAATAGCTCAGTCCCATTTATGTTTGACAACTAGAAATGCAGAGTATCTTCATAAATCTAATTACAGATTTCAATCTTTATGTTCTCCATTCCATCTCCCTGGGCTACTCTTTTTCTTTCCTTGGATAATTTCATCTTATCCTTTAAAATTCAGCAATCCCTGCCCAAGTTGAACCCCAAACTACATCTTTATCCTGGCGTCGCAATGATATGGATAATGAAGAAAGTAGGCACTTATTGAATGCTTACTATGTGCCAGGCACTGTTATATGATATTTGTTGTTGTGGAGTTGGTTCAGACTCATAGTGATTCTGTATATAAAAGAACAAAATGCTGCCTCATCCTGAACCACCCTCATAATCATTGCTATTTTTGAGTCCATTGTTGCAGCCATTCTTTTAATCCATCTATGCTCTTTACATGTTTATATATATATATATATAAACATATATATGTAATGCTCAAGCTATTATATGAAGCAAACATTATTATCTTCTTTCTACAAATGAGCAACATGGGACACAGCATGCAAGTGATAGATATAGACCTCAATCCTAGAAAAGCTGCCTCCAGGGTTCCAATCTTTAATTACTATATAAAAACATGTAACTGTCATATAACACCTTATATGACGGTTACATATAATACCATTATTATAGGAGAATATGTAGCTGTCATATAAAGTATTACTTATATACTTTTAGGTAATTTCTTGAGTGATCCCAACTATGTGAAGTATAAACATAAAATGAAATTTATTTCCCCAGCTATTGCCTTCACTGATGACATTCCCTTTTCTCCTGGCCAGTTGAAACATCAAACCTGTCTCCTCACTTCCAGTTATGAAAAATCAGGCTGGTTATTTAAGAATGAAATAAAATATTGGCTGTTTTTCTTTAAACCAGAAGCTCATACTTCTATTGGCTTGATAAAATAATCCTTGATATATGACATATTTAAATTAGGATGAACTGTACCTTTTTTGGGGGGTGGGGTGGTACATCTTATCTTTAGTATTATGCACTACAAACAATGTTGCAGCAGGTCATTTGCTGATGTTATTCTCAGATGTTCATTTGCAGCTGATCAAGTTTTATGAATTACTGTCCAAAACATTGTCATAAAAATTGTTTTCTAAGTGGGTGAAGGGAGACCTCGGACAGTGTAAGATATGACAAAATAATACTTTATAAATTATCAAGGGTTC